GATCCAACAGAAGGGGCATATTACGGGTTCTGTCTACTAAGGAATTTCATCTGATGCGACCCAGGAGGAGAGCCTTTTCTGCCATGGCACTCACCCTTTGGAACTTCAGCCCCCCCCCTCAAGAACTTAGATTGCCCCCAACCCTTTGGTCTTTCATAAGTCCCTGAAGACATGACTTTGCCATCCAGCCTGGGGATCCCAAGAATGTATGGACCTTCAAGATGGCTGTACTGTTCACAAGCTGTTGGTTGGCACTCTCCCACATTTTATATTTTTGGTTATGTTTTTAAAAACTGTCTTAATTTTTTAAAATTGTTTTTTATTTATATGGGTTTTGTTTTTTGTCATTTTAACTTGTGAGCTGCCCAGTGTCACGTATGTGAGATGGGAAACTATATAAATGTAAATAAATAAATATTGTATAAGATGGGCAGCCATAGAAATCTTTTAAATAAATACATATTTTAGGTAGTGCAAGTTCTGCATTCTAGCAGCATGCCAGTTTTTAAAACAGTTTCCTCCAACCTGGTGAGCTGGACCAACTCCCATAATCCCTACCAAATGCAATCAACAACTGTAGATGGTGGTAACTGAAGCCCAACACATTTGAAGGGCACTGGTTTGAGGAAAGTGGCCTAAAACTAATCAGACACAGCTTCTTATTAGCCATGCTGGTTGGAGCTGGGAGCTGGGAGCTGTACCATGCCAGTAAGCACCTTCCATGGTTCACCACAAACTAACGTAAGTGTGGTGTGCAATCCAACCATCCATATCTTCACTTGAATTGCTATTCTAGGCATGATTCTCTATTCATAAAAGGCACAATATAAAACAGAGAATCACACTAGGACCTGAAGTGGTAGCTGTGCAATTTAACCTGCTCTGCACCCAGAGATGGGGCCTTAACAGCCTAAACTGTGTTTTTCAACCTTGGCAACTTTAAGGTGTACGGACTTCAACTCCCAGAATTCCCCAACCAGCATCTGTCCACACTTCTTAAAGTTGCCAAGTTTGAAAAACACCGGCCTAAACTTTTGAGGTTCCAGCTTGCAAAGCCAAAGGTGAGAATATGGCCACTAACACCCTGAAGGGTGGAGAGCAAAGGACTTTATAGAATGAACCTGTCAGATGGAATAGGTGGATCTCATGAATATGCATGCAGAGGGATAAAATCTATCTATGTGGTCGCTAAGAGTCAACACTGACTTGATGGCACATACAGGTAGTCCTCGTTTAGCAGCCACAATTGGGACTGGCAACTTGGTTGTTAAGTGAAGTGGTCACTAAATGAAACCACAACTGTGCTTACAAACTTACTCCAGCTTTCCTTTGCTTTACAGACCTGTGAAGGTTGTAAATCAGAGGATTGGTTGTAAAATTACTTTTTCATCATCATCGTAACTGCGAATAGTCACTAAATGAGACAGTCACTAAACAAGGACTACCTGTAATCAATCAATCAACCAAGCAGGGTGGGATCTAATCAGTTGGAGAAGGACAAAGGGTGAATCAGTTTTTAAAAATGCCAATCCTTTGCAAAGCTAACTTAGATGAACTAAATTTAAATGTAATTAATATGAATATTTTTCAGTCATGTGTTTAACCATTTCCCAGTTTGGTAATAAATTTCTGAAATCTCTGGAAACTCCATCCTAAAGTTCTGGGGTTCCTGAGATTGGGTTCTTTTGCCCTAGAAAAAGCATATGGATGAGAGATGAAAAATCATCTGCGGAACCAGGCATATTTTGCAATTCCCTAGAAGGACACTGTCCATAGAACAAGCTGGATCAAGGGGAGTGCTCATGTGTGTGCAAACACGCCAACCAAGTCAGTGCAAGGGTTAGTTGTGTCATCCAGATTGGGTTGGGAAGGCTATTTTCTATGCTGCAGGAATAGATACAGAGTCCTAAAGTGGATTTGCAAAATCAATGACAAAGAAATCAGTGAGTGTGCAATGCTAGGAAATGCAGATAAGTCTTTACTTGGGGGAATTGTCTGTCTTGGTTGGGTGTGTCACACAAACATCACTGATGAAGTGTGAGGCTCAGGACGCAACGTCCTCAGAATCTCAGATTCTTTATTTTCTGAAAGTTCTTGGGGCCCGAAGCTGAGATTATACTCTCAAAAGGAGGTGAGCATAAGGTTTAGCAACCTCCCTAAAGGCTGGGGCTGAAGCAGAATTTGGATTGGAGGTATTATTATTATTCAAAGTATGCAGTGTTCAGTTCTGAAGCAGGAAAGGTGGTTTGGATCTAGAATGGATGCGCTTGTTTATCATGCTCATGCCAGATCTGGAACATCGCTCCCTCTTTGGGTCAGATTCCTGCACACCTCTAATTATTAGTTTTTTATTGTTACAGTGATTAAGAGGACATGGACAAAATCCTGCTTGTTTCATCCTAACAGTCCATCCTTCTCTTCATCCCTGGCTAGTATGGCCTTCCACTCTGCTGCTGCTGCTGCCTGCTCCTGTCTCCATTTCTCCCATTTCCATCTGTTTCCTGGGTCTATTTTAAATTGTAAGCCCGGGGAGAGGGGGCGGGGACCTGCGCACCTGCTCTTTGCAAAACACCACCTACCCAGACGGCATTATATACATTAATAATGATTGCAAACGGCTGATTTCTCCCCCACCTTTGGTCCTTGCCGCTGAGCGGCGGAGAGAAAGCCACACGGCTGCGTTCACTAAAAAGTCTCCATTCCTGAGATTCTTTTCCATCAATAGATGCCAGATGTTTGAGTTCTCCTGAAGGCAAAACCGAGCAACTACCTCCATTCCACCTCATAAAGAGCAGGCAGGGGGCTTGAAAAGATTTGGGAGCTTGGCTTTTTAAAGAAAGATCTCCAAACATCCGCCCTGTGCTGGTCTGAATCGGTCAAGGCACCCATCCAGCAGGTGAGGGAAAATAAAGGGAATATTTACATGGAGCTTGGACTTGGCTGGCAGAATTGCTTGCTGGGAGGGATCTGCTGGAAGGTATCTCCTTACATACATACATACATACATACATACATACATACATACATACATACATACATTACTTGTGAGCCGCCTAGAGTCACCGATAGTGAGATGGGCAGCATATACATTTGATTTCTAAATAAATAAATCTCAAAACATCCGCATGAGGCTCCCATTCATTCTTTGTCAAGTCAAGCTTCTCTAGCTGATGTTTCTGGGGGATTGACCTCAAAGCAACGGGGCTGCAGGATTCCAGGCAGCAGGCTGAGCTTCCCAAAGCACAGAGCACCTGAAGATATCTCATGCAGGACATGACCCCATCCAGGTTACTTATCTTCTGGCCCTCTCCATATGTTTCATGTCCCGCATGACAAAGTGGATGGAGGGGTATAAGGGAATCTGGATTCAAATCCCATCTTAATTAGTAAGGCTCCATGGACTGCCTTACGATGGCCCTCTTCTCTCTCAGCGGAACCTGCCTTGCAGAGCCAGTAGGTGAATAAAACTGGAAGGAGGGATCATACATGCCCACCTGAGCTTCTTGAAGAGAAAGGCTTGATATAGTAATAATGACATCTGGATGATTATGTTTTCATTGTAGTAATGTTGTTAAACTAATGTTGCTACTCTTTAATAAGGCAAAGGTTTCTTGAACTCATGGATTCACAAAAGACTTTACAGCAGGGGTTCCTAAAGTTTTTCTAAAGTCCTTTACAGCAGGGGTTCCTAAAGTTTTTGCCATCACACCTCCCTTTAGTGTAATTTTAATTTACACACCTCCCCTAAAAATCCAAACACCAAAATGAACACAAATCAACAGTGGAAACAATACAATGAAACTTTGGGAAACTTTACTGTATACTAAAAGGTTCTTCACACCTCCTTTGGACTCTGTCTGCACCTCCTCAAGGGAAGTACACTTCAGAGTTTGGGAAACCCTGCTTTACAGTGTCACAAAATGATTGTTTCTGTTGTAACAAGTGTTCATGGCCATTTTCCCTCTGTAAAATAAATACAGATAGTCCTTGCTTAATGACCAAAATAGGGACCAGAAAATTCATTGTTAAACAGGGAGGTTGTTAAGGGAGTCACACCTGATTTTATGACATTTTTTGCAGTGGTCATTAAGCAAATCACCATGGCCATTAAGCAAATCATGCGGTTGTTAAGCGAATCATGCGGTTCCCCATTGATTTTGCTTGCTGGAAGCCGGCTGGGAAGGTCACAAATGACGATCACGTGACCCTGGCACACTGCAACTGTTGTAAGTGCGAGCTGGTTGCCAAGCACCTGGATCACAATCATGTGACTGCAGGGGTGCTGCGATGGTTGTAAATGCAAGGACCGATTGGAAGTCCCTTTGTTTAGCACTGTTGTAACTTTGAATGGTCACTAAATTAGTGGTTGTTAAGTAAGGACTACCTGTATTGCTACTGTTATTGTTGTTATTACATAACATCAGTGACATGTTGTGCATCAGTGGTAAGGCAACACCCTTTTTGGAGACCCAGTACCATACCTGGTAGAATCCTTGGACAGGGAAGGGTTGTAGGGTTTGGGACACAGACTCTACAAGATAGCATTGCCAAACTGGTTAGAGCCTTTCTCTCTAAACTGGTACCTCTGCAGATGTGTTGGGACCATAACTCCCCAAATTCCCAGCCAGCATGGCCTTCACTTTCTTAGAATTGTGGTCACAGCACATCTAGAGGGACACCAATTTGGGGAGAGCTGATGTACAATGTGAAGAGCTTTCTCTCTCTCTCTCTCTCTCTGCCTCAAAGTATTAGAACCTTGGGTCATCCAATTGCAGAAAGATAATCAAAGGAAGAAGAATATATCCAAAACTTTCTCAATATAGCAACTAATGATATTATGGGAACTCACTGTCCACTGGCTTTAAAAAGTAACTAGACAAATTCATACTTTGGTCTATTCATGGCTATTGGTCATGATGATTCAAAGGAACCTCATTATTTGGAGGTAATCTACCCTTGAATACACACAGCTACCCTTCCTATAGTGTTATTCACTTTGGGCCTGATGCAACAGTCTCTTCCTAGGTTCTTAGAAAGCAAAGACAAGACTGACATAGCTAAACTGAAACCTTCCTTCCAAATGCTGGCTTATGGTTTAAAAATAAGACAGAGATGATCTGCCTTCATAAACAATTCTGGGGCTTCTTAGAGGCATTTGGTTGTCCCTTGTTGGAGTGAGAATGGTAGTTTAGATCAGTGTTTTTCAACCTTGGCAACTTTAAGATGTGTGGACTTCAACTCCCACAATTCCCTAGCCAGCATGCTGGGGAATTCTGGGAGTTGAAGTCCACACATCTTAAAGCTGCCAAGGTTGAAAAACAGTGACTTAGATGAATCTGAGGGAATCTCAGAACAAAAGCAATCAAAAATCAAAGGAACTTTTTCTATGGAAGGGCTGCAATCAGAACCTGGCAGGACATGTGTTTTGGCCTTCCTCCGTTGCAATTAAGAGCTTCTGCAACGCACACCCCACAAGGGCAACTGCTCCAGCCAACACCCTCCACCGAGGCCACATACCTATGTTGCTGTCTGCAACTCTCCTGCGAGGATTGTTGGTATATGGGTAGTACTGCGAGCTTCCCTTCACCCCTGTTGGGGAGAGCGTGCTGGGACTCGAAATCCCCATCTCGCTAGGCAGAAAGCCAGGCTGCAGAAACAAGAAAAACAAGAGCATACCATCACAGCCCGAATGAAACCCAAATCTCCTGCAGAACATGGTTTTCCAAAATGAGGAGGAGCGAAGTGCCAGGTGTGGACACATGTGAGAGATATTGCTAGGTTTATATTCCTGTTTGGCTAGTCTAGCTCTTTCACATCTTTGTCAATTTGGCAGAAATACATAGCAACCTTCCCCAATCATAGTTTCTGGGTATGATGGACCTCAACCTCTGCAGTAGCACAGGGGTTGTAGTCCATGACATACAGTCCTCTCCAGCATGGCCAACAGGAAAGGGATGTTGGCGGCTGTAGTTCAGCAACATCTGGCAGGCTGCAGGCTCCTCATCTTTGACCAAATGGTACTTTCCAGTTTGGGGACTATAATTCTTACCCACTATCATCTCCAGAGTCCAGCTCTTATAGCTAAAAAGTTAAAGAAGAAAACCTCTGTGGTTGGTGAGGACTATTCGTTTGCAGACCCATGCAAAACAGATCATGGCTGAACCTTGCTAGTTCTGACCAAAGGTCCACCTCGTCTGAAGAGCAGCCTTAGTTAGATGCCTCTGAACATGGAGATTCCATTGTTTTGTGTACTGGCTGCAAAAACCTTGCTTACCAGATGTTGGGGGAAAAAACAGGACAGCAACTAAATCTATGCTTTGTTTGTGATGGTTCCTATGACATCTGGCCTGGTGGGGCTGGAGGCAGGACACCAAGCTAACTGGGCTTTCCTCACAAAAATGGTTTATTACATTTCAATTATATTCAGAGCTTGGATACAAAACTGGTATGATTAGAAAGTACACATTCCATACTCAGTGGTGCTGAACCTGGTTGCCACATCTTGAACCCCTCAGGCATCTTAGCCAGCCCCTACTGGAAACAGAATTCTGGTTAGCCCAGTTGTTTCTCAGCCTCGGTCAAGTTGTGGCCTATGGCTGGCTGGGGAATTCTGGGAGTTGAAGTCCACACCTCTTGAAGTTGCCAAGGTTGAGAAACACTGGGCTAGACAAATCTGCTGGGTTACAGCAGCATGATTTCTCTGATACCTTTCTTAGCTATGCTAGTTAAGCATGGGATCTCCCTGCTCCACTCCCCACAGTTCTCTAAACCAGGATAGGTATCTTTTGTGGTGTCCAGATATGACTTGACCATCTAGAAAGCCAAAGGAGGCCCTTTGTCAAAGGCCAGAGGCTGCTTTTTTGGGGGGGGGGAGGGCTTAAGAGGAAATGGAAATGGTTTACCTCCCAGAGATCATTGCTGTCATGTAGGTAGGTAGGAAGGAAGGAATTAAAGCGGGGGGGGGGGGGAATAAAGATTTGAAGGGTTCCCACCTTCTTAGCCTTCCAGAGGGCTGTGAAGACCTGGCTCTTCACCCAAGCACTGGGCTAGGATAGAAGTGAGCCCAGCAAAGTAGATTTGGTGGGATGTGGGGCTATGGTGGGAAGTATAATGTCTTTGGTGGGGTTTTGTGGGTTTGTCTATATTTTTGTTTTTAGGGAATGTTGATACGAGCTATCTAGGATTATCATGTATAACATAGGTGGCCATATAGGTTTGCCAAATAAATATATAAGCAACCAAGCAAGTGGTGAGATTTCTAGTTTTAATTTTGAAAAAGAAAAACAATGTATTACTTAAAATTTGGCAGCAAGATCTTGGAGTGTCACAAATAGGTGGTTTAGATCAGTGTTTTAGGGTGCCAGGGGCTCATTTCTACTCTACACATTAGATGTTGGGAGACAAACAGTTAAGAGCAACTGTTCCCTTTTCATATCTTCCTTGAGGACCATCTGAGAGACATCTGGTTTGTCTCATCAGAATGCCCACCCCATCAGTTCTTACATGACCAGTAACTAGGAAGTGGGGGGAAAAAATGAAAACTCCCTGTTCAGAAGCAGTCTACCATTGAGGAGCTGATGCTGGAGATGTTTATACTGTGTCTCACCCATAATGTTGGACTTGGCAGACCATTTGCCTAAGCATCTTACGCTATGCTTTCTTTTCCCTGATTTATGCACTGCATCATCACAACACAGCAAGAGCTTTGCTTTCTCCACTGACTATTCCATTCATGATGTCACCCTTTCAATTATGTCTCCTTCTTCCTACCAGAAAACAAAAAAAAAAAAGGCAAAAAAAAAAAAGCAAACTCCAAACCCATACTGTTTAAACACATGGCTGGCTGGCAAGTCCCCTGTTCTGTTTTTAAAATTATATCCACTTTGGCACCCATAGCTGTCCTCGCACATCTGCTTTGAAATGCAGCAGAAAAAAAAAAAATCCCCATCTCAAAAGTTTTGGAAAAATTGGTCTAACAGTTTGAAACACTCTCTTCTTTTTCCCGCCACCATTTTAAGAAGTTATCTTATTTTTCCTTTAGAAGAAAGGAAAGATTTACACGCAAGCATGTCTACTACACAGCTCTGCTCAGACAGGAACAGGTGGGAATGAGATGGGAGAGCAAGAAACTGACAAGTATAAAACGGAGGCATTACTCACCGCAGACTCCCTTCCCCAACCTAGCACCCACCAAATGTGTTGGTTGGGGATAACAACTGTAATTCCCAGCTGACATATCCATTAGGAATGATGAGAGTAATCACCCAAAATATTTAGAGAACATCGAGTTGCAGAGAATGACTAGCATAGCGAGTCAGAGGGCAAACTGTGAAACCAAGAGGGTCTCTCATTCAAATCATACTCAATTCCTTCAATAAGTCATTTGTCTGAACCTCATCCCTGTGTCCACAGATTGTAACATAAACCATGAAGGATGAGTCTCCAGGTCCATTTAGCCCATCATCCTAGACGGACTGCAAGAAACCCACAAGGAGAGCAAGGAGGTACCAGTAGACAGTTCTTGAACACAGAAACTCAACTGAGCTAAATACAAAATTCTTTCAAGATAAACTAATTCTTTCAACATAATTAATTTATGTACTCCCTGTCTGTGTCGAATGGCTAGCAGCTTGATATGTATATTTTAATTTTATTTATTGCATTTTTATACTGCAGCAAAAAGGCCTCGCTTTTTAAAGGAGGGGCAGGCAAACACAAGGGATTGAAGCCCAAAGGTATTCGGACATGAGAATATAATGCAAACTCATTTGCAGGGATAGTATAATCAAGTAGCAGATCTCAGGACAACCGAAATGAGGGCTGCTCCCTTCAAACTCTACTTGTGAAGCTCCCCAGATACTGATCATTTTCTCCAGTTGAGAAAAATGAATGCTGAATTAGCTGGACTTGGTCTAGTCTAGCAGATCTTATATAAACCATGTGGATGGCCAGAGTTAGTCTAAATTTGAAAGCCAGAGAGCCAAACTGGTGAATGATGGGTTCCCCCTTGTTGAAGGTTGGATGGTGGCTCCCCCTTGTGGAGCTTTTCAAATGGGGGTTAAATAGCCCCCTGTGGGGGATGATTTAGTGGTTTCTTAAAATAGCAGAGGGTTGGACTAGAAGACCTATAAGGTCCCTTCCAATTGATATGTTCTGTAATGCACCCTAGATAAGTGTTTCTCAATCTTAGCAACTTTAAGCTGTGTGGACTTCAACTCCCAGAATTCCCCAGCCAGCAAGGGGAATTCTGGGAGTTGAAGTCCACACAGCTTAAAGTTGCTAAGGTTGAAAAACACTGCCCTAGAGGAAAAGTGAAGCTTTCTTGTTCTGCTTGTGAGCTCTAAGTGATCAAAACTTTGCTGAATAAATATTTGATTAAAACATGTTTGAAATATTAAGATAAATGAGTAGCACTGCTTACCTGATTAATAGTTGGCATGCCAGCATCTCTTCCAAATGGGTAGGTGCCTCTTTCTGTACCTTTTCCTACACATCAAGAAACAAGGGGAAAAAAGTCTGTCTGGGGAAATATTAGGAAAGCTGTATCCCAAACTGACAGCACGTGTCTGCTGGTGGTGGAGACTAAGTGTCCTTGAAAGCATCTTCCAATTCTGTTGCATCTTTTTATCAGACACTCTCAAAACTGAATGCAACATTCTAAAACTCAAGTCAGGGTTAAAAATAGACATAATTCAAGAATACCTCAAGGCTGCCTATTTATGTATCCCGGGGTACCCCAACAATTCCCAACAAGTGCTGATAAGGAGAATTCTACATCTAGTCTTATCTCCAATCTGCTGGGAGGAAACAGGAAGTGCTGGGGAAAACTATCACAAATGGCCACATAAGTCAGAATACAGTGAGAATATGAAGAGTTTGCTCATCTGCTGGTGCCCTGCAAGGAAGCCGTGTGATAATCTTGTTGGAACACCAGCATCTAGGGGTATGCAACAAGAGTTGCATACAACTCTTTGGATCTGAAGCCAGAAAGTTGCTATGGAGGTGTGCACATTGCAACAGTTGGCGCATCCTTAAAGAAGTGTATGTTTTCCCGGGCTTGCGTTACTGCTGCAGGATTGCAGGAAAATATACATTTCAGTTAAGGAGGTGCCAACAGCATACCCATGCCTGCTCTGAAGTAGCTTGTTGCATCATCTGGGTGCCCCCATAACTCAAAAGGATATTTTTGGCTGCTGGCTTCTACATGAGCCCAGAAAAAGACACAGCTTCTCAGAGGAGGTGCTGACAGGTGTAGCAGCCATATCTGTGGCACCTTTTCAGTTTTGGATCCAAATCATTACACTTCCCTACCAAAAACCAGTATCCCAGACCTTCTCAAGATCTTTGTGTGCTTTGTAACCACATTCCAGGAACACAAGAGGTAACACCCTTATTCCTGGAGTACAAATTCCTAGCTGAGAAGACCCCATCTTGTCTATATTCTAGCTGAGAAGATCCCATCTTCTCCATTTCTTCTGAGAACTCTTCTATGCTACCATATATTGCATCAAATAAGTATTATTATTTCTGTAGCCCTAGGCAAAAGTCCAAACATTATCTGAGACATGGATGAAGCATCTATAACCACACTTACTCCCTCTGCTAAAAACTCCCAGTTCCAAGATGCCAAATCTTGTAAGGAAATGAAATAAAACATATTTCAGTGGGGCCCTTTATTCTAGAAACAGGAGCAATGTTTTATAAACAGACAGGGTATTTACGGGGCATAGATGTAACATTAGACATACATTTCACACCCACAGAAAAGGACGCATGCCAAAGTCACACTCTCACTGATGTATATGCACACATACAAACCTCAGATTGCACTTCTAACACTTGGAGATAAGAATCAAGAAGTTTAGTGTTAATTACTATTTTTAAAAGGCAAGAAAGTCAGGACAGCTCAGAGACTCTGCTTTCACCAGTTTTCAAAATCTCCCCACGATCTGCCTACTTTTTCGCTTGTTAGTCTCCCACTCTCCCCGCTCAAAAAATTAGCCTGCAGTAGTTGATCTCTCTCCCCATTTCTAAGGGTTTGATCCTCCAAGCAATCTAATCAGGGTAAGATGGAGCACTGGCCAAAGAGATCATAAGGATTCAAACCCAGCTTTTCCCTTGTCCAATGATCTTGCCATTACTGTACATTGCAATCTCTTAACCATTTGCTGGCTGAACCCTTTATTCCATCTCATTCAAAATTTGTTTTCCGGAGCAGCCAACCCG